TCTATATTCTCAACTATTTTTCTTCCTAACGTGGTAAGAAGAGCTATCATTTCCTGAGTGTGTAGCTGGGGAAGAGGGAGTGCTCACAGACAGGCTATTTCACACAATCCAAGAGAGCAGCAACTTTAGAAACATTCAGTTTTGTCTTTCTAAAACTATGTTGCCTGGGCTGGGCAACATAATGAGACCTCATCTCTACAAAAAATTTAAAAAGTTAGCTAGGCAAGGTGGTATGCACCTGTAGTTCTAGGTACTCAGGAGGCTGAAGCAGGAGAATCACTAGACCTCAAGAGTTCAAGGCTACAGTGAGCTATGTTTGCGCTACTGTACTCTAGCATGGGTGACAATTAAAAAAAGAAAACACAAGAGGAATACCAGAAGACAAATTAATAAAATATCTAAATGCCTCTTCAACATCTTTCTAATAGAACAAATTCCCAACAATAGTAAGTTGGCAAGCTGAATTTAGTAACATGAAATTTACGAAAACTGTACAGCATTTCCAGAAAAGCACAGACTCAAACAATAGACCCTAATGTTTCCCCTGGAACCCTGACCTGGGCTGGGGGCTCACAAGGGAGACATGCTAAAGGAAGGAGGGGACTTCATACCAACTTAATGCGTAAAGTCTGGGAAGCCTGGAGAAGCGCACAGTGATTGTCTCATGTACCGAGTGGCAGACTGAGGCAACCAAGCAGCACTCCAATTCCAGAGAAACATTTTATTGATCTCTGAGACAAAGCATTTGTGAAAAAATGCAAAGATGTCAAAATTCAAAAATAGGAAAAGGAAGAAACCCAAATCCCATCCCCTCCCCCAACCCCATGCTGGGTAGAAGAGTAAAGCTGGGAACACAGGGTGAATAAATTGTCAACAATGACCCAGGCTTAACACCGTGGCACAGTGGTTATGGTGCTAGCAACGTACACCGAAAGTGGTGAGTTCGAACCCAGCCCATGCCAGCTAATCAACAATGACCAACTGCAACAAAAAATAGTCAGGCATTGTGGCAGACGCCTATAGTCCCAGCTACTTGGGAGGCTGAGGCAAGAGAATTGTTTGAGCCCAAGAGTTTGAGGTGCTGTGAATGGTGATGCCACAGCACTCTACCAAGGGTGACACAGTAAAACTCTGTCTCAAAAAAACAATGGCCCACTAACACATTCAGAAAAGGGGAGGGGAAAACAAGATTCATCTTTGCAGGGCAGACAAAGCAGCTTCCCTATCTCACTACCAATGAGGAGTCCAAATGTCTCAGCCACTTGCCTGCTGATGGTCTTGATCAATGGTTCTCAATCTTCCTAATGCC